TACTGAGTTTTCTTTTTCCTGTGGGATATCTAAGCAGAGATGTATGTCCAGTGAGCAGTTGTTTATATGGGTCTGATGCTCAGAAAGGAAATCTCAGTTGGAGATACAGATTTGAGTGTCTGTAAATAGACAGGAGTCACCAGCTATCAACAGTAACTGCTGAAGGGCATCTAAAGCACATATGCAGAATGAGAAGAGGGTTTTGAAAAGGACACTAAGACAAAATATAACTTGCCCAAGTTCTCCCAAGTAGCAGAGAACAGAATTAAGATATAAATCTAATTGTCTAATCCAACGCCTTTGCATTCTCCACTATACTGTGCTCTCTTATGAGGAATCAGAGAAAACTCATTGGAAACTGTAAAGTGTTACAAATGTGTAAACATTTCTACTAAAACAAAGTAGCTTAATAACCTTTAAAGTATATGTTAATGTAGATAAATTTGTCAAATATCTCCCCTCTTTATGCACTGCTGAAGCTTCACTTACCTTTGTTCTTTGCCTCAATATGATCTTTATTCAAGCGTTCTGTGGATTACCTTTAATTTTTACACTGGAAACTAAATTAGCAAAGAAAATGCTGACCGTGGGTTAGTATTTTTCAAAGACAAAGTTTGGGAGGACGCCAAAATGTTCAGCCATAGGTCAAAATAGTTTCATTCATGCAGAGGTCCATGTGACTTGTGCAATGGCCAGTATTTATAGCAAGAGTAGCAATTCAATTCCAAGGGTACTTACTCTATTTCAAGTGATAAGATCACTTGGTATATATGTAAAATCAAGAATCAAGTACACGGCCAGTATTTAGTGTAATACTTTATTTTCTATTATACTAAATGAAAGCCAAGAAAATATCAAGTTAATTTTAAAGGCAAATCTTTACTCCTTAAAGCAAAAAATACAAACCGTGGTACTTTTATAATAGTTATATTTTACATAATAGAAACGAAATCACTAATGTATCTATAAGCTTGGTTTCCTTAAACTACAATGAACCAGAATGGGTGGAAAATGGGTTTACTTTCTGGTGGCAAATAAACACCTTAGGAAAACACATAGCATGCTTTTTTCTTAAAAGTGTCTACACGCAGGCATAACCATGCTTTAATAGCCACCACCTCCTCTTCCTTGTCCAAAGTAGCCACTTCCATAGCCTCCCCTGCCACCTCGCTGGAATCCCCCAGATCCTCTGAAGCCTCCACTAGACCCTCTGTAGTCTCCAGAGCCGCCTCTATAGCCACCTCGGGAACCTCCTCGGTAGCCTCCACCACCACCTCCACTTCCACCATATCCTCCCTGATAGGAGTTGGAACCACCACCGTAGCCTCCATTACCATAGCCTCCCCCACCTCTGTAGCCTCCACTACCATAACCTCCACTGCTATAGCCACTGCCGTAGCCCCCACCACCATAACCAGAACCTCCCCTTCTGTATCCACTTCCGTTGTCATATCTAGCCATCTTGGGAGGACGTGGACCATCTCCATACCTGGGAAAAGCACAAAACCACCCCTTCAGCAAAGCATTCTTGATACATCTCAAGTAGTCACCAAACATACACATTTAGTCATATTTGAAAATTTAAGGAATAAAGAGAATGAAGTCAAATGCACAAATACAAACTGAAATGAATTATAAATCTGCTTTTCCAAAATAGACACAGAAAGTGACATCAATGTTTTTCTAAAATTCTTTCTGGTTCATTATCAAAGGTCTTGAGTCTTGGCAGTATGTCGACACACACAACTGAAAGATAACCCTCTTTCGCTCAGTTCAACAATACAATGTTTGAAGAAAGCAAGTATTATTAAATAATATGTTAGGAAGAGTTTCCTGGAGCTGGCAATAAACTAT